ACGATCCGACCGATCCAAGTACCAAACGTACGACACCTCCAAGTTCAGCACATGTTCAGCTCGATGACGTCCCACAAACTCCGATCTAGCAGAGCTTCACGGGAGAGTTTCGTCAGCACGACAGCGTGATGACAGTGATGATGTTGCTACCGACGCAGGGCTTCGCCTAAGCACCGCTACGATATGACCGGGGTGGAATATGGTGGATGGGGGCACCGCACACGGCTGGGAGTGATCAATAGATAAACTTGTGTGTCTAGAGGTGCCCCCTGCCCCGGTATATAAAGGAGCAAGGGGGGAGGCGGCCGGCCAGGAGGAGGGCACGCCAAGGGGGGAGTCCTACTCCCACCGGGAGTAGGACTCCTCCTTTCCTTGTAGGAGTAGGAGAAGGGAAGGAAGGGAGAGAGGAAGAGAAGGCAAGGGGGGCGCCCCCCTCCTTGTCCAATTCGGACTAGAGGGGGAGGGGGCACGCGGCTGCCCTGGCCGCCCCTCCTCTTCTCCCACTAAGGCTCATTAGGCCCAATATACTCCCCCATGGGGGGGGGCATTCCGGTAACCCCCCGGTACTCCGGTAAATGTCCGAAACCTCCCAAAACACTTCCGGTGTCCGAACATAGTCGTCCAATATATCAATCTTTACGTCTCGACCATTTCAAGACTCCTCGTCATGTCCGTGATCATATCCGAGACTCCGAACTACCTTCGGTATATCAAAACACAAAAACTCATAATACCGATCGTCACCGAACTTTAAGCATGCAGACCCTACGGGTTCGAGAACTATGTAGACATGACCGAGACATGTCTGTGGTCAATAATCAATAGCAAAACCTGGATGCTCGTATTGGTTCCCACATATTCTACGAAGATCTTTATCGGTCAAACCGCATAACTACATACGTTGTTCCCTTTGTCATCGGTATGTTACTTGCCCGAGATTCGATCGTCGGTATCTTAATACCTAGTTCAATCTCGTTACCGGCAAGTCTCTTTACTCGTTATGTAATGCAGCATCCTTCAACTAACTCATTAGTGACATTGCTTGCAAGGCTTACAGTCATGTGCGTTACCGAGAGGGCCTAGAGACACCTCTCCGACAATCGGAGTGACAAATCCTAATCTTGAAATACGCCAACTCAACAAGTACCTTCGGAGACACCTGTAGAGCACCTTTGTAATCACCCAGTTATGTTGTGACATTTCGTAGCACACAAAGTGTTCCTCCGGTAAACGGGAGTTGCATAATCTCATAGTCATCAGAACATGTATAAGTCATGAAGAAAGCAATAGAAACATACTAAATGATCAAGTGCTAAGCTAACGAAATGGGTCAAGTCAATCACATCATTCTCCTAATGATGTGATCCCCTTAATCAAATGACAACTCATGTCTATGGTTAGGAAACTCAACCATCTTTGATTAACGAGCTAGTCAAGTAGAGGCATACTAGTGACACTATGTTTGTCTATATATTCACACATGTATCGTGTTTCCAGTTAATACAATTCTAGCATGAATAATAAACATTTATCATGATATGAGGAAATAACTAATAACTTTATTATTGCCTCTAGGGCATATTTCCTTCAATCCCTGTGTCTGCAGCTTCACTAGCTGATTGTGGGATACAGAACACCTATCCCAATCGCCTTTTTGGGGCCATGGGGGCGGGAGGAAGAGCTGGGAGCGCTAGCCATGTTGGGGTGATTTCTGCTGGGAAGCTCTGAGGATTCCGCGCTTGGTGTGGACTAGATCTGGAGATCCCCGTCTCTTTAAATAGACAAACTTTCTTACACGTGGAAGCTGAAATCATGAAGGTGCGGAAGCCGATGAGCGCAACATTAAATGAAAAGCCAGATACTGCTCTTTAAGTCAGGTACTGTGTGAAGTAATCGGAGAAGGAACCCGCCTTGCAATGTCGAAGACAATCTGCGTGCCGGAGACCTCGTCATTGAAGCCTGGTTCAGGGGCTACTGAGGGAGTCCTGGATTAAGGGGTCCTCGAACAGCCGGACTATTAACATGGGCCGGATTGTTGGGCTATGAAAATACAAGACAGAGGACTTCTTCCCATGTCTGGATGGGACTCTCCTTTGCGTGGATGGCAAGCTTGGTGATTCAGATATGTAGATTCCTTTCTCTGTAACCGACTTTGTTTAACCCTAGTCCCCTCCGGTGTCTATATAAACCGGAGGGTTTAGTACATAGGGCAGAATCACAATCATAGGCTAGACTTCTAGGGTTTTAGCCATTACGATCTCGTGGTAGATAAACTCTTGTAATACTCATATTCATCAAGATCAATCAAGCAGGAAGTAGGGTATTACCTCCATAGAGAGGGCCCAAACCTAGGTAAACATCGTGTCCCCCGCCTCCTGTTACCATCGACCTTAGACGCACAGTTCGGGACCCCCTACCTGAGATCCGCCGGTTTTGACACCGACAGTTATTGCATTGGATTATACCCAAACATCTAAAAATCCGGCAGATCATTTTACTAAGGGTCTATCATGTACTGTGATAGATAATGCATTGAGAGAGATGGGTATGAGACACACAACATGAGTTGTTCATAGTAGTAACCTAGTCTATGTGATCGGAGATCCCGTGAATTAGATGTGGAAGACAAGCTATTGGTCAACTAAGAGGAGAGTATCCTTACTATTAACAATACCACTCCGTGAAGATGCAATACTCTCCTAAATCTGCATGGCAGATTGATGTATATCTTAATGTGTTCTAAATGGCTCATTTAAGCAGAGATGTTGTCATGCAGAACATCTTTTGAAGCACACCTATATCAGTCTGATTGTCAAACATCGCAATCTATGAGAGTAGGGTTCTCTCTAGTAAACTCATGAAAGGTCACGGAGTATGACGCATAAGCTCCACCCACAGGGAAGACCCACGGTAGCCTAGTATCGGTCAAGGCTTTGTGTGAAGCTAGATTCGCAGAAAACTTGCAGTTCAAGGCCCAGTCCACTGTTCAAGTTGCTTACTAGTGTAGCATAGAGTTCTAGGTGAAAGTTCAACTTAACAGTCTTCACTACAATACCGGTATATAAAACAGTGTTTTGGAACCAAAGGCAAATATTGTGCCTCTCGGATCTGATGGGGGGTTGCTGGAATTTTGTCTATTTATGGGCCAGCCCAATAACTATTTCAGAAATTCCTAATAAATCTTAGAGGCCCACTTAGCCCATTCGTGCAAGGCAAGGGACACTACTAAAGTTTAGTCCCACATTGCTAGTTTAGAGGGAGTTGGACCTCTTTATAAGGGAGGTTCTTTCCCCACATGTATGAGCATGAGAACAAGAGGGACATCCATGTGCGCTCCTCCTCCGCCGCCCACCTCGCCACGCCACGCCTCGTCACGACGCGCCGCGGGTTGCAGGAATGAGCCGACCCGATGTCTGAATTTTTGCCACGCACGGCGGGTATACGAAAGGTCACGCGGGAGCTGAAACGTTTTCTGTAGTGGACACTTCGTCTCCCTCTTTTGCTTCATCTCCCGTCGCTGTTCTCTCGCCTCCTTCTCTCGCGCCTATAAAAGGGAGGTCGCTCCTCTCAGAGAGATGCACCAGAACTTCTTCTTCCTCTCGCCACTGGTTCCAATCTATGAGCTACTACTATCTTCCTCATCCCGGCTTGCGGCGTGCACTGCAGGTCGGGACAGTAGACCTCCGAAACTGCACCTCTTTGAGTCCTGTACGGGAGAAGGGTGATAAGGTTTTTGGGGAGCGCTCCGCGCGACTACTGACTTCATCATCACGGACGCCCCGTACTCCGACGACTACTTCCCCGACGATGACTTCTTCCCCGACATCGACAACCTCCTCGACGACATGGCTGGCGAGGACACCGACCCCAAGACCGGTGCTTCTGCTCCCATTCCGTACGTTCTCATACTCTTTCTGTTGGAGGTTCTGTCACAACTTCTTGCTCTAGTGTCTGTTCTAGATGTGTTCGGTTCTAGTTCATATATGCAGATGCTATTCACCTTCTCTCTGTCAAATTGCATGACTTGCTTTGTCTCTGCTATATTAGTCATGCTTTATCTAGTATTTCGGTTAATAAAATTATTCGGTAAATTGTTCATATTTCCAACAGGTACAACAGTGGCGGCGGACTCCAGGAGAATGGATACAAAGCACAAGAGGATGTCCGCTTGTTAGAAAAAAAAAGAGGGCTTCGGGTGGGTTTTTTGGCTGGGCCCAGTCGTCAAAGTCCAATGTGACGGATGTCCAAACTCCCCGAAACCTCCCCTAGTTTGATGCAGGTTTAGGAATTCTCAGACGTGTGAATCCGTTTGAACAAATTTAATGACCGTCGTTTGGATGATCAAAAGGGTGTGGAGCATCGCGAATATTTGAAGGCGATTTGGTGATCCGCGTTGGAGTTGCCCTTACCTCCTTTTCGAGAGAGAAGATTAATCAAATCGTTCCAAGGCGCAAATGAGTTTACAACGTGCGCAAAGGAGGAGGTGGCAAAGGGGAATCTGTTTGCCTGTCCGTGTCTGCAGCTGCGTTCACATCGCCGGGACTGAAGTCAAATTCAACAGCCCTAATCCTCATCCTTTCCAGACAAAAGATCCTGTGATGATCCTGGTACCCGCACGAAGCAAATTGGGTAATTGCTTGCCACAAGTAGGCGGTACACTGTTTTCCATCTACAGAAGTGATAACTGATAATACTCCGTGTACTGCCAGATGTCATCGAGTGCTTGTTTCTTCTCCCAATCATGTGGATATATCATGCAAACTCAGATGTGCTGTCAGCAATGGCGTCACTGTCTCAAGAATCTTGAGCCATTCACACATGGTTCCATACTCCCATGCTCCTATTAAGTGCATAATTGTCGAACATAATTGTCGAACGAGCTCAAGCTCAGCTCAGTTCAGCTTCACAGGTAGTACGTGGCTGCAGTGTAGAGACGGAAGAGCTCACCCGTCACTCGCTAGCTAGCTATCTCCTTTCAGTCGAGTCACCGGCTCACCGCCATGGCGCTCAGCCTCCGGGCCGCCGCGTCCCTCGCCTCTCCGCCGTCGGGCCCACGCCCCGGCCGACGCGCCGCCTCGGTGGTCCGCGCCACGGCGTCCCCCGCGGCGCTCGGCAACCGGAACCGGCGGCGAGAGCAGAACGTCTCCGGCGAGTTCTTCGTCGGTGAGCTCCCTTGTCCGACCTCAGATTCAGTATAACTGTGTTATGTAGTACCGGGCGCCTTATCTAGCTTGACGCGCGCGCGTGAGCAGATCACCGGTGCATCGACTGCGCCACCTGCCGGTGGATGGCGCCGGAGGTGTTCAAGAGGGTGGACGGCATGTCCGCCGTGGCGGCGCAGCCCAGCTCTGAGGAGGAGAGGACCAAGGCACTGCAGGTAACATTATTACTACTGCTAGCTGCAGCTAATCTGTGTGATTTGGATGCGCAACACTGGAGACTGACAAAAAAGTTCGTTTTGCTTTCAAGAATAGTTACTGAACAATTGAGTTCATGTTATCTCTGTACATTTTTGCAGGCTTTGCTCTCTTGCCCAACAGCCTCGATCCACACCGACAAGCCCGCGAAGGACATTCTCCAAGTGCAGAACACGTTCCCGCTCCCCATCGACGACGATCTTCCTGTATAAACATTTTCATATATGCTCCATCTTTAACTTCCTCCAGTAAATACAAAATTCAGCACCAAAAAGTTGTGTGCTTGTTTTTTACCGTGCTGGTTAATCATTTCCTATATACGTGATGTGTTTCAGGGTGTTTACCTTTGCGGTTACCATTCCGAGTCCTCATATGGAGCAACATCTTATCTCATAGTTCACCCAGAAGGAAACATAATGGTTGACAGGTAACTAAATGCCAAGCAATCTATGAAGTCTCCCCTCGGCTATAAGGCTGCATATGTTTCTGTTAAAATTTCAGTTTAAACACAAAGTAATACTACCTCTGTACCAAAATATAAGGCATTTTGGCAGTTCAATTTAAACTGAAAAAACGTCTTATATTTTGGTATGGAGGTAGTATTGACCAATTTGCATAGCATTGTGACATGAAGGAAGTAAGTAATAGATCCCTGTAACACATATGTGTAGTTTACCGTTGTTTGTTAATTGATTTTTGGTCGGAACCTTAAATCCTTGATGGACACATAGTGATATATTTATCTGTTATAGTACTCTGTTTTTCCCCGTATTATATTTGTTGTAGTTGTTCTGATAACCTCTTAATATTTCAGTCCAAGGTATACGCCGAAACTGGTGGACAAGATTGAGAAGCTCGGTGGAGCGCGCTACATGTTTTTGACCCACATGTATGTTCAGACTTACACAGTTCTACATTTATCTACTCATTTGTGCATTTGTGGACCTTTTTATTAAGGAGATTGAAGAGTATCTAACCAATTACCAAACAGTGATGATGTAGCGGATCATCGGAAGTGGGCCGAGCGGTTGAAATGCGAGAGAATCATCCATTCAGGAGATGTAAGAACACCCGTAGAAAGAAACTTACTGGAATATCTTACATGATGTTTAGAAGGATATTCAAAGTCGTATTACAATTCATAGATTATAAAATTGTAATTTGCTTTATGATGTTTGCCCTGATTATCTGCTGCAATAACCTTCCTGACACAGGTAGTGGACATTACTGCTGATGTCGAGTGGAAACTTACTGGAAGTGGTCCCTGGAACATTGGAAATGATTTTGAACTTATCCATACCCCAGGCCATACTGAAGTAAGTAACTCAACTCAATGAATAGAATTACATTGAATATACTTCTACCCCTTTGTTATGGAGAAGTTTATGGATTAAAGAGGAGTTGGGCTTATGGCTAGCTGGCTGCACTATAAGGTTATAAATATAGTGCTCCCTCCGTCCCAAAATTCTTGTCTTAGATTTGTCTACATACGGATGTATCTATTCACGTTTTAGTGTTAGCTACATCCGTATCTAGATAAATCTAAGACAAGAATTTTGGGACGGAGGGAGTATGAGATTATCAATCCCATCCTCTCCAGTTTTTCTTAAACTTCAGAGAACTATGCTTGTATATTCTTCTTTGGATAGACAAGGTGGATGGATGGTAATGATGTCATTAATTCGTGGTCATTTTAGCAATAATTATGTTGCACCATACTGATCTTCTCCTGCACATCTAAGGTAAGATTCACTCATGAAAATGAAAATGAAAACATTTTATGTAGGGCTCGGTCTGCTTGTTGTACAAACCACTAAAGGCGCTGTTCACTGGCGACCATGTCGCAAAATCAGAATATTCAGACGAACTGAATCTCTTTCGGATGTACAGCAAGCAATCAGGTAGTACAATCCACCCTTCTCCCTAGACTTCCTATCTCAAATGATGAAGACCAATATTCAACTGTACCAGAGTTAAGCTTAAATCCTGATCAATGTATATATATCTGTTGCGCAGTGAATTTGCAACTGGATAGTATGAGAAAGTTACTGGACCTAGATTTTGAGTGGTATTTACCTGGTGAGCATCCCTTCATTATTGCATACAAAAATTCAGTTTTATACCTGGATTTGCAAGCCACCCCGTAAGATATTCGGTTCAACTGCCTTTCTGTAACTTGAACTAATTTGTGAGTTGTCTTTCCCCAGGGCATGGCTATCGAATCCGATATGAAGATGTACAGGCCAAAAATGCAGCTATTGAGTCTCTCCTAGCTAACTACAAAAACTAAGGCGCATGTGATCACATGCTTCGCAAATAAGGATTCCAGAATAAAGGGACCAGGTTGATATGAAGTCCCTGTGTCCAACGAAATAATGATCGATGCTTTTACATTTTGTCCAAACATCATGTATTGTGGTACTTCATATATCTCTCCCAATGTACAAGGCATGGGTATCCTTATATCAAATTAGAAATATTATTGGATCATCCTGCAAAAGAAACTATATGTTATTTCAGCAGATTGTACAATCATTCAGTCAGTTTAGTAGATCAAGCATATTTAGCAAAACCTTCGTGATGATTGCTTTTGTTCATTGCTTTGTCATAGGTTGCCTTTTCCACAAAACAATAAGAATAAAAGACTTTTTTTAGAAATGGAGGAGGACCCCCAGCCTCTGCATCTGGACGATGCATGCAGCCATTTTGTTAATTATTCACACAAGACCTTACAATGTGATACAACAGTAAGCCACCGTCTAGGCAACAAACTGTCGCTACTCCTATCCAATTGACGAAGGGATGCTGATAGTCTGGGCCTAACAGACCTCGCAGCCAAACCTAAACATCTAAGACCTGAGGTCCCAACCAGGACGTCTGTCGGGTATGGGCACCCACCAGTACGGCGTGCTCCTCAACCAGGACGCCTGCCGGGTATGAGGCCGCCGCAGCCACCTGCCAACAATCCATCTTCAGAGTTGTACTGTTGCATCTACCTTTCCCGGTCTAGCTGCTGCCGACACCACCACGATGCCAGACAGCGTCGACCTCCTGCGCGTGTCCATCACCACACATCTGATGCCAAGCCTCCGCTGCTCCATGCCGCCAAGAACCTCCGCCATGAATACGTAGAAAGAAACACCGCTCCACCAAAGAAGCCAACCGCTGGTCCCTCGAGCCCGAGTGCATCTCCAAAAATGCCGCCCCCAAGGGGGTAACGACACATGAATGCCGCCATCATCCGATCAACTGATCTAGGGTTTCCCCCGGAGGTATTGGGTGGCGTTGGGAGTTTCACCTCGATGATGCCTTCATGAAGGAAATGATGATAAGGGCATCTTCATCACCGGCTCCGGCCAACGACCGAATACCAGGTTTTCACCCGGACCCGTCCCAAGGAATCCACCCGACAACATGTGCACCGTCTCAACCGCCTTCATAGCCCCAGATCTAGCCACCTAGATCCAGCGACCAAACGCAACAACAGTGCCACTGTAGGATCCCTGGCGCACCGGCCACTGCCAGAGTGTGCCACCACTAGAGCCTGGCGAGAGGGCTCCCACCCCCACCTCGCCAAACCGCGAGAGCCAACGAGATGGATCCCGCGCGCTCGTCACTGTCTCTGATCTAAACCAATCCGCAATCAGATCGCCATCACAGATCCGCCTTGGACAGGGACTGCACCACGCCATGCCGTCGCGGGAAGCCCGAGCTTCACCCGCCGCCACCATCCAGGGCCGCCGCCCCGGGATCCAGACAGAACATCGCCGCTGCCACCGACCTTGTTTCGCTGCTGTCGTGGTCCTAAGACTGACAGTAGAAAGGGGGGTAGGTATGGAGAGTCAAGATCTCAGCTATGGTGAAGGTGTACACACAAGATTTACGAGTTCATGCCCTTCGCGGAGGAAGTACTAGCCCTACGTCTCGGTGCCCGGAGGCGGTCGACTGGATTATATGTGTGTGGTGTTACAGGGGGTGCAAACCCTTGTCCCAGAGGAGGGGGTGGCTTATATAGAGTGCGCCAGGACCCCAGCCATCCTCCATTACAAGGGGCTTAATGTACATAAAGTAGGGGTGTTACTGATAACGCCATCCATAAGTGCTATTAATGACCTTAAAGACTACGGAGTGAATGTCTGACAGTTGCAGTGTTGAGTGACTCCTGGCCTTCAGTAGGTCGAGTGATTCCTTATATGGTCGAATGACAATAGGTAGGAGGGATACCCGAGTGATATGATTTGTCGAGTGGATTGCACTCGACACCTTTGACTGGGGGTTCTTTGTTGCCTCTTGGACTCCTTATCTTCTAGGATAGTGACCTTGGGTAGGGCGTATAGGTTAGGCCTATGACCCTACCCCGGGTCTGTATCCTCATCAGTAGCCTCCGAATGGATTAAGGTTCGAGTGAAAAGTAGGTTGAAGTTGAACTTGTTTCGAGCTTTGCATCTCGCGAGTGTTTTACGCAGGACGGAAGGCTTACGTTGGTACTTCAGCTTCGATTCAGTCGCCTTGATCCATTCAGAGAGTTGCCGACTGAACTTGTAGCTGTTGGAAATATGCCCTAGAGGCAATCATAAAATGGTTATTATTGTATTTCCTTGTTCATGATAATTGTCTATTATTCATGCTATAATTGTATTGACCGGAAACCACAATACATGTGTGAATACATAGACCACAACATGTCCCTAGTGAGCCTCTAGTTGACTAGCTCGTTGATCAACAGATGGTCATGGTTTCCTGACCATGGACATTGGATGCCATTGATAAGGGGATCACATCATTAGGAGAATGATGTGATGGACAAGACCCAATCCTAAGCATAGAACAAGATCGTGTAGTTCGTTTGCTAAAGCTTTTCTAATGTCAAGTATCATTTCCTTAGACCATGAGATTGTGCAACTCCCGGATACCGTAGGAATGCTTTGGGTGTACCAAACATCACAGCGTAACTGGGTGGCTATAAATGTGCACTACATGTATCTCCGAAAGTGTCTGTTGGGTTGGCACGAATCGAGACTGGGATTTGTCACTCTGTATGACGGAGAGGTATCTCTGGGCCCACTCGGTAATGCATCATCATAATGAGCTCAATGTGACTAAGTAGTTAGTCACGGATCATGCATTATGGAACAAGTAAAGTGACTTGCTGGTAACGAGATTGAACAAGGTATTGGGATACCGACGATCGAATCTCGGGCAAGTAACATACCGATTGACAAAGGGAATTGCATACGGGATTGCCTGAATCCTTGACATCGTGGTTCATCCGATGAGATCATCGTGGAACATGTGGGAGCCAACATGGGTATCCAGATCCCGCTGTTGGTTATTGACCGGAGAACGTCTCAGTCATGTCTGCATGGTTCCCGAACCCGTAGGGTCTACACACTTAAGGTTCGGTGATGCTAGAGTTGTTATGGGAAATAGTATGTGGTTACCGAAGGTTGTTCGGAGTCCCGAATGAGATCCCGGACATGACGAGGAGCTTCGTAATGGTCTGGAGGTGAAGATCGGTATATTGGATGAAGGGTATTGGAGTCCGGAATTGTTCCGGGGGTACCAGGTGATGACCAGCGTGTCCGAAAGGGGTTTGAGAGGCCCCGACAAGCATTGGGGGGCCTTATGGGCCAAGGGGAGAGGGCACATCAGCCCACTAAGGGGCTGAGCGCCCCTCCCACCCCATCTCACATAACCAGGAGAGGTGGGGGCGCCACCCCTAGGGCAGCCGCCCCTCCCGGCTTGGGGGGCAAGTTTCCTAGGGGGTGGGGGCGCCCAAACCCATCTAGGGTTTCCCCTGTGGCCGCCGCCCCTCCCCTAGGGAACCCTAGGGCGCCTCCCCCTCCTCCCTTCCCCCTATATATAGTGAGGGAGAGAGAGGGCAGCCGCACCCTTCCTCTGGCGCAGCCCTCTCCCTCCTCCAACACCTCCTCCTCCTCCGTAGTGCTTGGCGAACCCTGCCGGAGAACCACGAGCTCCATCACCACCATGCCATCGTGCTGTCGGAGTTCTCCCTCAACTTCTCCTCTCCCCTTGCTGGATCAAGAAGGAGGAGACGTCCCCGGGCTGTACGTGTGTTGAACGCGGAGGCACCGTTGTTCGGTGCTTAGATCGGATTCGACCGCGATCTGAATCGCTTCGTGAACGACTCCACCGACCGCGTTCTTGTAATGCTTCCGCTTAGCGATCTTCAAGGGTATGAAGATGCACTCCCTCTCTCTCTCGTTGCTAGTCTCTCCATAGATTGATCTTGGTGATGCCTAGAAAATTTTGAATTTCTGCTACGTTCCCCAACAGTGGCATCATGAGCTAGGTCTATTGCGTAGATTCTATGCACGAGTAGAACACAAGTTGTTGTGGGCGTTGATTTTGTTCAATATACTTACCGTTACTAGTCCTATCTTGTTTCGACGGTATTGTGGGATGAAGCGGCCCGGACCGACCTTACACGTACACTTACGTGAGACAGGTTCCACCGACTAACATGCACTTGTTGCATAAGGTGGCTAGCGGGTGTCTGTCTCTCCCACTTTAGTCAGATCGATTCGATGAAAAGGTTCCTTATGAAGGGTAAATAGCAATTGGCATATCACGTTGTGGTTTTGGCGTAGGTAAGAAGCGTTCTTGCTAGAAACCTATAGCAGCCACGTAAAAACTTGCAACAACAATTAGAGGACGTCTAACTTGTTTTTGCAGCATATGCCGGGTGATGTGATATGGCCAAGAAGGATGTGATGAACGAAATATATGTGATGTATGAGATTGATCATATTCTTGTAATAGGAATCACGACTTGCATGTCGATGAGTATAACTACTGGCAGGAGCCATAGGAGTTGTCTTAATTTATTGTATGACCTGCGTGTCACTGAATAACGCCATGTAATTACTTTACTTCATTGCTAAACCGTTAGCCATAGTAGTAGAAGTAATAAGTTGGTGAGACAACTTCATGGGGACACGATGATGGAGATCATGATGATGGAGATCATGGTGTCATGCTGGTGACGATGATGATCACGGATCCCCGAAGATGGAGATCAAAAGGAGCAAAATGATATTGGCCATATCATATCACTATTTGATTGCATGTGATGTTTATCATGTTTATGCATCTTATTTGCTTAGAATGACAGTAGTAAATAAGATGATCCATCAATAAAATTTCAAGAAAGTGTTCCCCCTAATTGTGCACCGTTACGAAAGTTCGTTGTTTCGAAACACCATGTGATGATCAGGTGTGATTGATTCTAACGTTCACATACAACGGGTGTAAGCCAGATTTACACAT